GCATAGACCGTACACATTATAATAGATTTAGAGATATCGTGATTCAATTTAACACTAAAATTTTATTTCATTTCAAAAAGGGTAATTTGTCTTTCGAATTTATCGCAAACATATCAAATCCATTCATACTTCTTTCCTGTTACTACAGTGCAATTGCAGGAGTTTAATTTTCATTCGAGACTGTGATATTACCAGTTTATTCTACTCTAGGAACCAAAGTTGTGTAATATTAAAATGTGGAAATGTACAAAATGAAAGAGAGGGACTAATTTGTATGAATAATCTATTTAAGTTCCAACCGTAACAGGACTAAAAATATCAAACTATACCTTTGTCACAGGTACAGAATGTAACAGTTCAGTGACACAACCTAATCACCGAGAGTGGTATCGTAGATAAACCCAGCACACGGTGGCTATTACAGTTGCAACCAAAATGGAATACAAAACATCAAACCCTAGACAGTTGTGTCACAGGTACAGAATGTAACAGTTACTTAGTGACACAACCTGATCTTAAACCAACTGATAGTGGTTTAGTAGATAAATCCAGTAGACGGTGGCTGTTAGAGTTACAGCTGTGACGGAACATAAAACATCAAACACTACATAGCTGTGTCACAGGTACAGAATGTAACAGTTACTTAGTGACACAACCTGATCACTGAGAGTGGTTTAGTAGATAAATCCAGCACACGGTGGCTGTTACAGTTACAGCTGTGACGGAACATAAAACATCAATCACTACATAGCTGTGTCACAGGTACAGAATGTAACAGTTACTTAGTGATACAATCTGATCACTGAGAGTGGTTTAGTAGATAAATCCAGCACACGGTGGCTGTTACAGTTACAGCTGTGACGGAACATAAAACATCAATCACTACATAGCTGTGTCACAGGTACAGAATGTAACAGTTACTTAGTGATACAATCTGATCACTGAGAGTGGTTTAGTAGATAAATCCAGCACACGGTGGCTGTTACAGTTACAGCTGTGACGGAACATAAAACATCAAACACTAGGTAGCACTGACGTGTGAGTCCAGTTTATTACGTTATTGTTCCATCACGACATATTAGCTGTGTGGATGTTTACAAAATTGTGTTTCTCTCTGATTTTGTTGAGTATCGGATTGATAACAGTTCTCACATTTTCTTGATTATTGATTGTTCAAGTTTATTCCTAGTATAAAATAATTCTTGCTCAATTCTTTGGCAGATTTCTTATACGGTACTACGTTTACGTTTTTATATTTTTAAACTACACCATTTTTAGGAACAGCTAAGACAAATATACAGTAATTGCTAGAGATAGATTTTCGTGATAATTCATCGCTATTGATGAAATGCGTGTATTCTTGTTCACAATGATGTTAACTATGAATTGTTCATAAAAGATGTGGTTTTTTAACATAAATTAAGAAAACCCTTCAAAAAAATTACCAAAATCTTATGGGGAGTTATTGTACTATTAGAAATTACCTAACGTGATAAAAATTTCAAAGTTCTTTTTACAATCTTGTAATGGCCATGTTAAATATCTTTGATAAAATGCAGGTTATTAGAATTGTTATATCCTTTTTAAATCATAATATACTTAGACTTAAAATGTTTATCTGAACGTCAAACAAATTAGGGAAACTCACAACGCATATACAAATTATGAAAATTGACACACTTTGCGAATTCACTTACGCAATTTATTGTGTTGGATATAGCGGATAAAGCTACAACATAAACAAGAACATACATGTAAAGAGATCTCTGTATTCATGTTAAACTTTGCTTTGAACAAGAAGATAACAAGAGGTAAACTTTTTTCCAGTGTCTTACATCCCCTAGCTGTCAGATTTTAAAGGTGTACCTTGAAACTTTTACGTAATAAAACTTTCTCGCCCTAGCGCAATAAATTCTGTAACTTCGTTGCAAGATAAATGTATACTTCTAGATATAGATAATCCATATGAGGACGAGTTAATTATATTATAATGTATCAGCTATTTCAATTGTAAATTAGGTTATCTTCTCTCTCACTGATTCATTTGTAGCATCATCCATTATTTGACGTAAAGCGTTATCACTTGTTGTCTATTGATGTATGTTTTCAGTAAATAAAATATAACAAAATTGACATGTATATATTATTCAAAAAGTCATTAGTGTTTTGTATAAACTGGAATTAAGAGACCTTTAAAAAGCATTTTACATTGAATTACTAGATAATTTTTACTTTGAAAAACACTGACTTCTTCTTTTATAATTGCTTGAATATTAAAAACATGAGTTAAAAAAAAATTAAATTATATGAAACCCAAACAACTCAAGTCGAAACTTAAACAACTGAGCACTGCGACAAACGGAATAACAGTGGCGCCAGGGGCCTTAAGGTTGCCAAGTTTCGTTTAACCTCAGAGAGGATTTCAACTCTCTATATTATCAAATTTTATGCGAATATGTAAATTCTTGAAATATTTTTCAGGACAAGAACGTGGCCAAATCGTAAATTTTGAAGAACATTAAAATGTTTATGGAAATTCAAATCCATGAAATTTATTTTTTTTAGCAAACTAAACATAGTAAATGTAATTAGATTAATTTATATTATTTTGCCAAATCAGCAAAACAGACGAACGTTATAGGTGAGCATATTTTGGTGTTTACTAGTATTTTACATTTGTAACAGAGTCGATTTTATTATTGGTTAGAAGGGTTGCCAAAAATCCACAGGTGGTCTCTGATGAATCTTTCATGAGGCAGGAGAGCAGGACTGAATCTTTCATTAGAGTTCCCACTCAATAAAACTCACAGGCTGATTCCATACTAAGACTTTTTCGAAAAAAAGGGATTACCAACTGGTTTTCCCACCAACACGAATAAAAAGCTAGGTTACACAACCAAAAAATGATAAAGTAATATGTAAATTTGAATAAAATAACATTTCTTTTTCTTAGTAAAATGAACTATCAAACAATTACATTAAAAAATGAATTATTTCCCACACGTTACAACCAAATGAGCAATAAATAAACCTTAAAGTTACTAATTTACGTAAATAATTATGTGCTATTATGTGTAACTATGTGCACTTTATGTGTAATTATGTGTGGACACTTTTCTCCGTCCAAACCAATGTAATTTTATGACCACAATCAATAACTTCAGTGAATTTGGCAAAAGATTGTATAATATGTTACCTGCTCACATTAAATGTCTTGAAATACAACAATTAAATTTACTATTAGAAAGATTTTGTGTGATTTATGTGTGTATAAGGTCAACGAATTGGTAGAACATATAAAATAGGTTAATTGGATATACTGTGATGAAATTGTATGACGTTGCTATACATGTATTTATAATGTTGATGGCAATAAATGGATTTGATTTAAATTTTGTTGTATTTTATATTAAATAACTTATTTATCAGCATCTTACGTGTTATTAAATTACCTGAAAAAAATTATATGACTAATAACGCTAGTAATAATATATTTACACTTATACTGTTGAATCACAAGACGGTAAATTATGAAAGATGGTATGTTGTGATCGATTTTGATTCGATTGGACACTCCAATCATCATCAGGCCCAATAGGCGAATGTCCCAAAAGATTCGCCTATTGGGTCTGATAAGATTGGAGTGTGCCATCGAAATCGATCACCACTTACCATCTTACATATGTATTTACCGTCTCGTGATTCAACAGTATAAGTGTAAATATAATATTACTAGTGTTATTAGACTATAATTTGTTTGTTTTTTCAGGTATTTTATATTGCTTGTCCAAGAAGAATACACAATGAAAGTTTCGTATAACCTAGAGAATACTTTATTAGCGAATTTCCCATATAGGGAATAAGCTATTACCGTAGTACTCATGGTAAGACCTGGACGCGGGACCGATTTTTTTTTCGTTTTGAGGTCCCTAGAGGCCAAAAACACCATCCGTTCAAATTCATATATATATATATATTTATATATATATGTGTGTGTGTCCGTCAGCACGATAACTCGAGCAAAAATGATCCGATTTTGATGAAATTTGGTAAAAACGTGTAAACGTACGTTTATTCGAACGAGTTCGCGATCCAGCATGATCGGACCATGGGAACGGGGGTTTACGGGGGGTTTTATGGGGTAAAAATAGGTTTTTCCCATTTTTGACCCAAAAAACATAAAATTTAGCAATTTCTTTCCAAACCATTTTGTAGAGCTTAAAAAAACAAATAATTTAGTATTTTGAAGCGTTATTATGCGCCTAATGGTTACGGAGAAAATTCCAAAAAATTGTAAATTTAAAATTCCCATGTTATTCTTATGGAGAATAAGTAAACTGTTGTAGTTTGCTTGTTTGTGAACATATTTTGATCAAATTTGGAAAATGTTTTTATTTTTTACTAACTATTCACATTTTACAAAAAAAACAGTTTTACCCTCCCTGATGCAGCAAACCTAAGTACTTGTTAAACTAATTCTATTTAAATCAAGAATAAATGTTATATTTTTAAGTAGACATTTCAGTGTAAATCCAATCAGTCAAATGGAAATTCGCTTAGTCTGCAGGTTTGCTGCGGCGGGGGTATTTTATTTTGTGCAGTGGTCTCTTAAAAAAAATAAATAAGATACAGAGGAAAAATTTAATGGTATAGTGGTATCTACTATCTAGCGTCTTTGCTAGTGCCTAAGGTAAAGACCCCCTTTTCGTTCGGGCCCTTGTTCTTCACTAGTATATTTCCACCCTAACTTACCAGGTCTGAAAGACCCCCAAAATACGGTCGTCCCACAACCGTCTGTATCTTAATTCTCTGAGTTGAAAATAAATACGAACGATTAAACATTCATTTTGATTCATATAGTTACTGTAGCTAGTTCACTGCCTGCAAGTATTTGACAGAAAGACTTAAATATCAAGTTCCGGTACTATTATATTTTTGCCAAACAAACCAAAATCATTTATATTGGAAACTATGAACCCAGGAAAACTTATCTCACTTACCTTCAAGCGATAATTTTCCAGTGACCAGAAAAGAAGAATCTGCAAACACCACGCCCAGTTAGGCATTTTCAATTAACCATATACAAGTTTAAAGCTGCATAAAAACCTACTTTCATTGGGGATTATAAAACACAGTCGTAACAACTCCCCATCTCCTGACGTCACGGACAAAGCCAGTCACGTGATCGACAGTGTATTATGGTTTGTAGTCACTTTGTGTGGGCTTTGTTTTAAAACAAATATACAAAGGAGGTACCTAGCAGTATTAAATGTATCTTCCCAAGATAGTGTCCTGAAATAGTTAAATTCACAAAACGCAGAAGATGTATCCACTACCATCAAATCTAGTATGGTATCATTATTATTATGTAAATGTAGACATGTTTTTATAAATGCATTGTATTCATATGCAAGTATCGTGGGGAAACTGCATTTTATTATGTGGGAAATATTTAAAATGATTTGTTTACAGATTAAACAAAATCCACATCGTCTACAGGTTTGCTGCAACGGAGGTAATTAGGGGCATTAGTTTTCAAACGGGCATAAAACTTAAGTTGCATTTTATAGTTGGCAGTGTAATAATTACGTTTGATGGATAACATCATAAGTAAAATGTAATTTATGGTTCTATACGGGATTAGTTATATGAATTATATAACGTGTTGGAGTAATGTTCACATGAGAGAGTGTTGATTGTTAACCTAACTCGATACACTACCTAAAGAAATATTAGTTGTACACATTTTTATTAAATCAATATACTAACATAGATTTTTTATTTGCATTATGCAAATCAAACTATCATGGCATAAACATGTGTGCATGTCTGCTAGAGAATACAGCATACCGGGTGAGTCCCACTGTAACATTTGTCATGTTAGTTTCAGTTTTATGGCTTTAGTGTGGCGTGGACATAGTGCATAAATGACAATATTAACATATTTACTGAAATTATTTCACCCGGATGTATTCCAACTATCCAAACAATGTGTCCAATGTAATCGTAATGTAGTTTTACGCACTTATTAAAAAGTTACTACAAGTGTAATGAGATATTTATATACCGGGTGTCCGAAAAAGAACTGAAACATTTTAAAGCCAAATACTGATACCAAATAAGAGACTATGTTTAATGTTTTAAGTATGTAAATATTTAATTTTAAATTCTAAAATTTTATTAGAAATTTATTATAACTTGATATGAACACTATTAGTGGCCCGGCGGGATAAATCTAAGTGAAATTTGACCTCTTCCCAGGTATTGGTTTCTACTTCAAGGGATGTTGCACCACTATTCTCAGTCGGAAGTTATTCAGATCCCAAATCTGCACCGAGTAGACATCATTCTTTACTGCCCCCAAAGGGAAAAGTCCAAAGAAGTAATATCTGGACTCCTAGGAGGCCATTGGATGGGACCTTCCCTGCCCATCTACCAATAGCCGAAACAAGTATACAGCGCTTCTCGCACACTCAAACTATAGTGTGGTGGCACTCCATCGTGTTGAAAATAGACAGGGCCATTCCCAATCTCAATGTCACCCAACTATGGGAAAAATACTCATCTAACATGTCACATTAAATGACACCATTTACATCCCCTCAACTACTGACCAAACCCTGGGAAGAGGTCAAATTTCACTTAGATTTATGCAGGGCCACTAATGGTGCTCATATCATAAAACTTGAGAATTTAAGCTTTAAATACATATATAAAACATAAAAGATAACATCTTATTTGGTATCAGTATTTGCCTTTAAAATGTTTCGGTTCTTTTTCGGACACTACTTATTTTAACTGTATAAAATTAAATAATGAAACCGCCTGTTCAATAATTTTAAGGGCAAGTACATTTTCATTCACATTATATTTTATGTACTTAAATTACATCAGCCTAAGAATTTTGTGAACAAAAATAATGAGTAATATTTCTTATGTGTTTACAGTCAACCACCTTTCAAATAGTCAGTAATTTGTTTTTTAATTACTTTTAACAAAGATTTTCGTTATAATTAAAATAGTTCTTAGTTGGATACTAAACTTTAAATAACTGTCTAAGCAGAACTTGAAGTTCGCTTTTAAAATAATCATCGTATTAGTTACAGTTTGGTGCAGTTACGAAAAAGCTGAATAATTGCGACTATCTTTTGTTAAAACTGAAATTCATAAAATTACAAAAGCTCCAATACATTTTGTGCATCAAAAAGAATATCCAAAGGACTATTACGAAAAGTTAGAGTTTTAATTGTAACTACTGTACAATCTAATCTTTGCACATATTTTACAATTACATAAAGGTAAAATTAATCCATAGGTACTGATATTGTTGGGTTATATAATTAGTATTACTGCGTGTATTTTAAGTCGATTCGAATACATTTTAGCTCATATTGTATAAAAGTAGTGTCCCTATAAAATAGAACCACCATCATTAATAACCTATTATTTTGGGAGTTGTAATACATAACCTTTGTTTGAAGAAGACAGAACATTATGCCACGTATGAACTTTTATAATAAGATAAGTTATAAATGAAACGCGAAACTTGGGGAAGTATCCAGAAGAACATTACGAGTATATCCTGTACCCGCGAACACGGTGAATGTATTGAGAAACTTTTATATTCAAACTCAACTTTTCTGACACCGAATCAAACATTTCATAAAGAATGAATACGGTGGTGTACTCGTTCTTTATATAAAATGTTACTAGCCAAACATAAAAATTAAGGTTTTAACATCTGCGCTTGGCGTTTGTTAAAGAAAACCAATATTTTAAGTGGTACAATCAATAATCTTAAAAATGATAACACTGAAAACTAATAAAGGTATTGTTGATGGCTTTTTGTTTTATTCTATTGATCTTTTTTGTAAGAACTAGATTAAATTCAAGAAAATCTTAATTATTATTGTACCATATTTATATAATTTTATTTAGTTCTCTTCTTGACCCAAAAATTAACCAATTAGCCGCCATTTTGTTTTTTTTTGCAAAATTTGTTTTATTCAATAACGGCTTTAATAACGGTGTAGTGAATCAAAACTTGGAGTAAATACCTGTATTGAGAAAAAATGATATTTTTATTGTATGTATTTTAAAAAGGAAAGAAACTTAAAGTTATTAAACTGAAATAACAAAAAAAACATACGTATGTATACAAAAATATTGCAGCAATGTTTTATTTTACCAAATTAAAAAAGGTTCATAAGGGGGGAAATAATAATTAAGATACTGTGTACCAAACAATATCCATGGTCATTTTGGTAGGCCACTGCTAGTTAGCTAAAACAATCAGCGTTTTCATTCTGGGTTACCCAATCAGTGAAAATATTTATACTCGCAATAATCTTTTAAATTAGTTTTTTATTAATCACATCGATTTATTTTCGTTTCGAAACATTCCAATCCATTACCATATGCCCATTATAATTATGTTCTGACTCGAGAAGTAAAAAATAAAAATATCTCTCCGCATATACAAACACAAGGTCTTTGGTATTTTTAGAAATAACGCGAATTGGACAGTTTTTAGTTTACTAAATTTAATAATATGTGAGCAGAAGATTAAGTGAATGTTGGCACTCCTACAGCGCTGGCAGCCATACTTAACGCTATGCCGCATTGCATTTGTAAAATGACTTGAGTTATAAGATAAAACAACAACGTAATTCATTCAAGAGTGTAAGAAGGTTTAGCTGCCTAGTGGTCTTGTTGTGGAGCTGATAAAATATACTCATGGCCTTATGAATGGAATAACAGAGTTAAAAGGACCACTCACTCGTGCTTCTTGGTACGTGGAAATTTTACAATTAAAAATCATTTAATCAGGTACGTATATTTGGAACATATTAAAATGTGTTAGCTTATTCTAACGAGTATAGGCTACATCAATTGCTTGGGAGTGGTGTCTTTTGATATTGATGTGTCATAGATATTGTTTTTAATCTAATCTAATTATTTTATGTGTATGGGAGTTGTAAATTAAGTTGATGTGTTTCACGGAGTGAAGTGTCATGGCCGATTTAAAACATCGCTGCCCAGATGGATCTTCTTAGCGTCGTCCTGTTTGAGACCCGAAGACTGTATTTCTATGACAGATAATTCCTAAAGAAGTATTGCTATGTTCCCACCATAATTACTGTATTTTAATTAAGTAATCCTTGACTACAAAAATAATTAATTACTTGGCGTCGAACTCTGGGTGTAGCACATCCCCTAAATGTTGTATTTTGCTTTTTTTGGTATATCCCAGAAACTGCATTCCACTTAACCACTTTGGTGATTGCATTGTATTCTAAAGTATCTATCCCCAAGAACATTTGTCAAAAGAGAGGTGTGTGATTTTTTTCTTTTAGCCTAGAAGTTACAACATGAGTACAATAGATTTATCTGCACCAAAGCTAACACTCTTTTTGGTTTAATACAAAATAACACATATAAACACACTTTAAGTGATTCTATTTTTCTGAAATCTGCATGTGTACATCATCTTACAACTTTCATGACCATGAAATGGTTCGGAATAAAAGGTGTGCATTATGTATTACAATATGTAAGGGGTTGGTGAAAACGTTTTGATCAATTACTCATTGATTATTCAGAATGATAATATCCAGTCCTGAAAAAAATCGTTCAGATTAATAACTGTATACTCTTAGATGGATTTGGAAACAAAGTCGTTAAAAAGCTCATCTTTCAAACCCAAAGTTGTCCTTGTATGGCAAATTATACTTTCTTTTTTTTTTTTTGTCCTAGGACGCTAGGCACGAGCCTGGGATTGTTTTTCACATTACTTCAGGCTAGACCTAGGGGTTGCGGCATTATCACTTAGATAAAATCCATTGGTGACTTGGCGGGGATCGAACCCGGCACCTCACGGACCGAAGTCCCGCGCTCTAGCCACTACGCCAGCTCGCTCCCCATGGCAAATTATACTAGAGAGTATTCTGGTGAAAATTTGATCATTTAGATAGTAACAGATAATAAACTCAGACCTCATCCTAAAATTTATTGTGATTTCAATAGGCACTTGCTCTGTGTATTTCTCATTCATCTCTTCTTAAATCAATTAAGTACTTTTCCCAATCGGACTTTTACAGTTGACTGTCACAAGACTGAACCTACTAACGCTTACCTACTACGCTCAAGTAAAAAATTAGCGTACAAGAAAGAGATAAAATCCACCAGGTTATTGATCGTTACCTAACTTAGCTATAGCGTGATTGCCACAGCCAAGTTGATATATCCCCACGAGATGGCAGCAATGTCTAGTCAGTCACGCAGACAGTACTGTAGGCCTACCCTTCCCTAATCATCCCCTTTACGTAGATAGGGATGAGCTAAACTACAACGCACCTTGTACTTAACATAACAGACTATTACTTATAGTTTAGCTGAAATATAAAAAGGACTTACTTGATGTTAGTCCTTATATGAGTTTTTGTAAGGAATTTAAGACAATTGTTACGTTGTATTTTGGATCCAGAAAGATTATGGTTATCATATTGTAAAGCTAGCCAGTTTTAAAAGTTTAAGCTTTATTTTATTCATGGCAACTGTAAGTTTACACGTCAAGTTTGCGTTTTTCAAGAGCTGCAATCAAAAACGTACTCACGACCTTCACATACCCAATATTGGACACCTTCAATACAAACAAATGTCACACGGCCATCTATCTTTCACCCTACTAAACGATTTTAAACTATCGTTGCAACTTTGTTGGTCTGAGAAACAAAACCCTGGAAATAATTTAGCTCTTAATGTTAATCAAGAGCTACTTTCTACACTGTTAAATGTATGTGATGTTTTTATATGTGTTTCATGTTCTGCAATGCTTGATAGCAATTATGTCAGCTCAGTGCTTCTTGCTACTTAGGGTGCATTTTTAAGGGATTTCGTTAGCTTATAGTTGTAATACTAAAAGCAGTCATTTACCTAAAGATAATTCAGTTTCAATGCAATAACTTAGTTAAATATATCAACTCCATTTATAGTTTGTAAATCATCCCTATGGACAACCAATGTACTCACAAACATTCCATAATTTGTTTTACCATCAGGTTCTTGCAAGTGAATTATTTTAATATTGCAAACCGATGATGCAGATGCTGACAAAATTCAGCGTGTGGCAAGTTCCTATAAACATTGATGGATCGTCGAAGTCACAAGAGCAGACAGGATGTAGACGTGAGGTGTAGGTAACCAGGTTATTCTGACACTGACAAGGCATCGTTTATTCAACCGGTCAGCTGATCGTACGTGGCGGAGGAAATGTTCAATATCATCACATTTTACACCAACTTTATAAACTTCGTTCTACGTGTTTAAGACACTATCATCATGTATGCTAAACCTGCTGCTGCTCTTTGCTTTTTGATTGTTGAGTTTTATCGATTATTTTCATATATATTTAATCAAGTGTAATTAAATAAACCCTAAAAAGCGTTTCTAAACGTTGACAAAGTAAGTGAGCAATGCAGTATGAAAAGGAAATCAAAGAAATGTTTAATTTTTATCAGTAAAATTTAGTTGAGCCGAAGGTATTTATTTATCTTCTAGTCTAACAATCATTAGGAGATCCTAATATTTTTTCATTTTAGTGGGTAGTTTCATCATGGACTTTAACTATGCTTCGGGTACGTAATTATTTCACATTTTGAGTTACAATTGGTTAATCTTGCATATTTTTTTTCCGAAAAAAAAACTCAGTCTCATAAGTGTGAAATTTTATTGAAAGGGTAGAATCTTCGTGGGAAGTTTTTTTTATAATGGTTAAATTTTTAAAACTATTTATTTTTATTTTTTTAAAGTAAAGTTATATTTACAGCTATTTTACTGTATCCGCAGATATATAACAAATATATCACAAAGGTACACGCGTGTCAGGTCCATTTATACAGTTTTCACATACGTAGTATGCATAGGCAGAAACCTGGATAAAAAATTGAAAGCATCACGTGTCTATTAATACAAAGTGTGTAATATTTGAGTGGATATAAAAACACGCCAAGGCATGTGGTGAATCCATTACATGGATTAGCCAGACGATCGGTCATCACTCGTTGTGTAACACTGGGCTGTGCATTCTAAATATCTTTGATCATGGATTAAAGGTAACCGACCGTTTCAACTCGTTTTATGTAATTTTTCATAAGTAATTGAACTGCGGGTTGTTTACTGGTTGGTTTATTAACTGACGACGGGTTTATCTGTGATTGTGCATGTATATAGCTAAGTTCTTAGTTTTACCCTTAATATATCTTATACGCTGTACACAATGTAAATATTATACCATACAATTAAATGTAAATGAGAAACTACTGAGCATGTCTGAAAAGGTAATACACATTTTATATTTGAACGTGTCATTGTTACATATTTGCTTCTTCTAAATAATAATCAAAACCTTGTTGTAAATAGCGTAAGAGATAGATTACTTACAGAATATTGTAAACTAAACCGTATTCTATGTGAATATCGTGTTACGAAAACATAAACATATAATCTATTTCTAAAAAAATATAATACGAAGCAGTTGTTTTTGATTTTTGAAAAGTAGAGGTTTGTTTTTAGGAAACTATCATTTGTCGAATTAATATTTAACGGTAATGTCAATAAATAACATCATTATTAAATAATTTGTTGCTGAATATTTTTTATTGCAAACAGATGCTTATTATTAAGATGTTGATCTGTAAGTCCTATTTTGCAAAAAATAGTAGTATTAGATGATGAACCATGTAATCTATTAAAAATTGCATGTATTTATCAAAGGTGTTAGAACTCGTGTGAAATAAAGAACTTTACAAAATATTATCTAATGAAGAACTGATTTAATTCTGATAAATAACAATATTTTATAACATTTCTCTATTTAACTAAATTGTTATGTTCTTGACCACTTTCTTAAAACACAACTCTTCTCAATTGTTTAAAATAAATTAAAATAAACCATCTGTTCATAAAAACAAAGACTAATAAATTAATATATTTGATGTTGATTAATATTGAAATTTGTATTATATAAAAAACAATTTAATTTCCAACATCCTCCCCACCTTGGAATTTTGCTTTACGTCATCAAAAATTTCAAACAAAACTATTTACATGTTTCTTTTATATTTTCACAAGTCCATTTTCCTAGGGATTTTTATCTTTCTCCCTCTTCTTGTTTCTGTTGGTGTTGATGACTTATCTTCCACTTCAATATGTGCATCCTGTTTCCTTGACATGTCCTTTGAATTTATTTCCATGGGGTAAAGTCTCTGGATGGGTCTTGTTAGTTCTCCTTTTGCTGTTTTTAACTTGGCTACTCTGCAGACTCCATCCTTTCCTCGTATTGTCTCCAACACTAGTGCTAGTGGCCAATTTATTCTTTTGATATTATCGTCACCTATTAGTACAATATCACCAGTACTTATTGTCCTCCTTCCTTTACCACTGTTTTCTTTAGATCTATGTACTAGCATCGCAAGGTATTCTTTCTTAAATCTTGATCTCAAATTTTGTCTTAAGCTTTGAAGATACCTCACTCGCTTGTTTAGAGTGGTTGAGTCGACAATGTCCAAATCATGAACGTCACTCTTAACAATTGGTTGTAGAAATACTGAAGGTGTGAGAGGTTGTAGAGTGTCATAGTCATCACTCATATAGGTCAAAGGCCTTGAGTTGATGGTAGATTCCAAATCACATAAAAGAGTCATTAATTCTTCATAATCTACTTTTGCCAATCTTAGATTTCTCCTCAACAGTTCCTTGACCATTCTCACTAGTCGTTCCCACATACCTCCCCACCATGGGGCACTTGGAGGATTGAATTTCCAGGTTATTTGTTGGATCTCGAATTTCCGAGAAATGGTTTTCCAATCCAACCGCTTAAGGATATTATTTGTACCGACAAAATTGGTCCCATTGTCTGTGTAAATTAGTGAAATTCGTCCTCTTCTGGATATAAATCGTCGTAAAGCAGATATGAAGGATTCCGTTGAAAGAGACTGTACCAGCTCTAAGTGCACAGCTCTGTACACGGCACATGTGAATAAAACCACCCATGCTCTTTCCCCGTTTCTTAGGTACAGTGGTCCTGCCAAATCAATGCCTGTAGACTGGAAAGCGTTGCATTCTGTGATCCGTTCTAAGGGAAGTGGAGCAACTGGTGCTTCTCCTGCTTTAGACTTGAATCTCTTGCATTTGGCACAGTGAGATAAAACATTACGAATGGTTTTTCTACCCTTTAGAATCCAAAACCTATCTCTGACTATAACTAACATTGATTGAAGTCCAGCGTGTTGATTAGCAACATGAAGTTCCATAATGATACGTGTCACGATAGGATGACCTGAAGGTAAAAGAATCGGCAATTTGAAATCTTCACTGTCGTCATTCAGAACTAGTCTGGTCTTCACTCTTAACAAACCCTTGTCATCGAAGAAAACTGGCAAGTTTTTCTGGAATTTTGATTTTTCTCCAAACGAGTTCTTTTGGATACATAAGATAACTTTCTCTTCAGCCATTTGAATCTCTTCACTACTTAAACTTTCACTTTTTGATTCTTGATTGTGACTTGAGTTCCTAATAAATCGTAAAATCCATGCTACCATTCTTAACAGTTTTAGGTAGCTTGAAAAGTATAGTAATGACATTGAGAAATCAATACTTTTTTCTGTAGTTACTGCTGATATAATCTTCTTTTTCCGTTCAGTATATGCTTCTGAATCTGGTAGCATAAGACTCGACACTGGCCACTGAGACTCATCATTTTGAAGCCAATACGGTCCTTTCCACCATTGAGATTCATAAAGTGTCTTAGCTCCGCAACCTCTTGAAGGCAAATCAGCAGGGTTAAGATCTCCTGAAATGTGGTGCCAATCATCTTTAGAAGTAGTGTTACAAATTTCCTTGCACCTGGTCCCAACGAAAGTTCCCCAATCTTCCTTCTCTTTGATCCATGTCAGTACGATTGATGAGTCTGTCCAAAAATATGTTTTACATGACATCTTCAACGCCTTTTGAACATGTGTGTAGATCCGAGCTCCCATAAGTGCGGCCAACAGCTCCAATCTTGGTATTGTTGCATTCTTCGGGGCAATCCTAGATTTTGCATATATAAGCTGCACAGCTACCTTGTTTTGAGACTTGGTTCTGATAAAAAGACAAGCTGCATAAGCCAGTTTACTAGCATCGCAAAATATATGAAAACTAGTCTCGTTTACGGACTGACTCCCTAACAGAAATAGTCTTCTTGGTATTCGACAGTTTTCCAACCAATGAATATTTTCAACCCACTTTAAAAATTGGCATGATATTTCATTTGGAAGTTCGTCATCCCACGTCAGTTTTTTCAGCCATGTCTCCTGCAAGAGTAACTTAGGTAATAAAGACACAGGACAAGTGAAACCTACCACATCAAAAATTCGCTGGGCTACTGAGAGTAGATCTCGTTTGGTTACCTTCTTGTTTGGCATAGAAATGGATCGTATGTCACAAAAAATCTCATCCTTTTCCCTGTCCCACAATATGCCCAGTAATGGTACAATATTTTCTGTTGAAAACTCATTTTCAAGGTTACTGACATCTGAATAGTTGCTAGCCCATTCTCTTAATTCAAACTGTCCTAGCTTCATTAGTTCCATGGACTCATTTACAAACTTTTTTAGTTCTACTGCAGAGTCAACACTAACAATACAATTATCAACATAAAAGGCATCTTTCAATTTCGCAGCTGTCTCTTGTAGATGAAGTGGTGCGTAATCCAAATGGTGATTTAGTGTGGCTCCTAACAGAAAGGGACTGGAGGTAATTCCAAAGACAACTCTGCAATGTCTAAAAGTTGTCAATTTTCTAGTCTTGTAGTCTTCCCACCAAATGAACCTAAGGTAGTCTCGGTCTTGAGGAGCTAAACTGATCTGTAAAAAAGCCTTTTTTATGTCTGCTGTTACTCCAATCTGGTGCTTCCTGAATTTCATTACAAGAGATGGAATCAACTCTACTAAATTTGGACCTGTAGCCAAACATTCATTCAAAGAATGCCCTCTTCTGTCCTTTGTAGACGCATCAAACACTGGACGTATTTTAGTAGTTAAGCTACTCTCTTTTATGACTGGGTGATGCGGCAGGTAATGGACCTTTGTTGACTCTGCTGATTCTGGAACATTTTCTATAATCCCTTCTTCTAACCATTCTTTGAAGACTTTATCATAGTCGTTGAATTTGTTAAGGGTATTTAATCTTCTAGTTGATGACATCAAACGTCTCTCTGCAATTTCATGATTGTCTAGAAGTTCAGGATGACCCTCCAACCACGGCAAACATACTTCGTACCTATTCTCAACATTCACTCTTACATTTTCTTTAAAATGTTGAAATACTTCTGCATCAATGGAGTCTCTCTGCTTCACCTCAATAGGGTCCTTGATTCCGATTGTCTCCAAGCTCCATAGATCTTTAATTTCAGATTTAGACTGGCAAAATAGAGTTAGCAGAGACATTTTACGACTTCCTCTGCATGGCTGCTTCCCCATCACGGTCCACCCAAGGTACGTTTCGATAGCGACTAGTTTGTCATCGATCTTCTGCATAGTTCCTGTGTACAAATCCACTAGTACATCTGCACCAAGTAAAATTTTAACATCTGGTACATTTTCACCCACATCAGTTAAAATAATGTTCTTTTCTTTCAAGATGTCAAAATACTGTTCACTCTTAAGCCTAGGTACATGGTTGCAAATTGTTTCTTGATCCGTCACAGGAATAGAGATCTTGAAAGAGCTATTTATATTTTGAAGAGTAACAAGGTAATTTTTGTGAGATTTTTGTTTAAGATTTACTCCGCCAAACAGACTATGGTTTATTACTTCGCTACCTATTTCCTGTAGACCTAATTTGGTGACACAGTCTTTAGTAATGTAGGATCTCTGGGAACCTGGATCCAAAAGTGCTCTTCCCAAATATTCTTTACCTTTATCATCCACAACCTTAACTAAAAGAGTCTGTAACAGAGTTTCTCCTTTACTATTTTCAAAATTGCTGAGAACCTCTGACTTAGGCTTAGGGCTACTTTGCTTTTGTAGATTTGAATCTGGTTTATCAGCATCAATTTTAGATCTACTTTCATACAAGTCCCTACACATGATTCCATAATGCCTTTTACAACAGAAGAGGCATTTTACAAATACCTTACATCTTTTTGCTGCGTGGCCTTGTCTTAAGCATACAAAGCAGCAGTTTTTCTTAGTTAGATGTTCCTTCCTTTCATTTAATGTCAATTGTTGAAATGAGGAACAATCTTGAGCATTATGACCTCCCTTAGAACAGTAAATGCAGTTACTCACCGACCCTTTATGACCATCTGTACCAGTTGTCAATAGAGCAGCTGCCGTAGGTTGACCCTGACGAGGTTCGTGAACTGCTGACCTTCTCTTTTGGCTGCTACATTTGCTGTTGTTCTCTCCTGGAGTGGCAGATTTAAAACTCGAACGAGCAAGAGCCAGCCTTTCTTCACTCTCCACCTCAGCCTTTAGAAAATCAAGAAGTTCTTGTAAAAAATTACTTGATTTATCATCTGACAATGTAGAAGACGAGGGTGTGTGTGGTAACTTACTTGAACGATGCCGCTCCCAGGCTCGTAATGTTTCTTCGGGCAAAGCAGATTCTACCAGAGGATACAGCATTGAAGCGTACTTGTCTGAAGTGACTCCTAAAGTTTCAAGTGCCCTTAACTGTGTTTCTAGTTTGTCATACAGTCGGCACAGTTTAGTATTAGGACCTAGCGTTACTTGTTGGAGCACTAAACTCAGCAGTTCCCTCACATATACTTCTATTAAAAAGTCATCCCTACCAAATCTTGCTTTTAATTGTTCTAAGGCCTTTACATAATTAGTTCCAGATGGGGGAAAACTTTCTACTAATTCCCTAGGGGATGATCCTGGCTTTAAAGATTGGATGAGGTATTGGAACTTATCCTCAGGTTCTAGATCAGGATCCTCATGGACCTTCTTAAACTGCCCCCAAAACCCTATCCAATTTTTTACATCTCCATCAAACTGGTTTAATTGTAAATTAGGTAGACTTAACCCCTTCTTAGATGCTAATTTAAGACTGTGAACGGTATCCCCGACTTCACTTCTTGACTGTTGGCTTAGGCCAACCTGAATAATGAAATGGTCATACTTAGCTCTCATTGAAGATAACATGTCTCTGTAAGATTCTGCAGTATCAAACTCATCTTCTAAGTCCTCTTCTTTTGTTGCAGGATCTTCCAACAAGGCTTCCTTGATGTCTTCATCTAGCTTAAAAAGCCTATCAGCTTTATCTTGCAGCTTGTTTAAATTACTTTTAATTATTACTTCATCTTTACTATCTTCATTCAGTAATTTGTCCATTTCATTTCTGCACTTTGTAAAAGTTCTTCTTAGTTGAGTCCTTTCAGTCTTTAATGACCTCAGCTTATCCATTGTATAGTAAGTAAAATATAAGCTTGGTCCTACTCTGAATTTTAACTATAAATGTCCTGTCACGGTCGCCACTATGTTAGAACTCGTGTGAAATAAAGAACTTTACAAAATATTATCTAATGAAGAACTGATTTAATTCTGATAAATAACAATATTTTATAACATTTCTCTATTTAACTAAATTGTTATGTTCTTGACCACTTTCTTAAAACACAACTCTTCTCAATTGTTTAAAATAAATTAAAATAAACCATCTGTTCATAAAAACAAAGACTAATAAATTAATATATTTGATGTTGATTAATATTGAAATTTGTATTATATAAAAAACAATTTAATTTCCAACAAAAGGGCTAAATAATATAATATGCAAAAGTCAAGGATATCCTATTTATATTTGTCTAAAACGAAAGGTCCATAAAATGGTTTTATTATGTCCTAGGACACTTTGCTTTAGGTTTTTCACATTACGTCACGCTAGACCTTGGGATTGCGGCATTTATTTATTTATTTGTAAATGGTTGCACCATTTTTACATGAAAAATACAATAATCTTACATACAAAAGAAGCAGAAAAAAAATCACAGGCCAGTACAATAGTAGTGAAAAAAAACTGGAAAACAAGACTTCAATACCAAGACATAAAAAAATAAATAACAACTATAAATAACAAACTATAAATAACAAACTATGAATAACAAACTATAAGTAACAACTATAAATAACAAACTATCTAAACAAGTTGACAAAACGAGAGATTCGAAAAACAAAACCAGTATAGGAACAATAATGATGCAATGCAGTAAAGCCGAGTGAAACTTCAGTAAAAGAGGCAGAACAAACAAAACAGATAAAACTTGCAGAAAAATAACAATGTGAATAACAATGTGGCATTATCACATGATAAAATCCATTTGCTATTTTGTGGGATTTGAACCCTGGACCTTAGAGCCGAAGTCCCGTGCTCTACCACTAAAAAACCGCTTCCCCCAGAACGTTTCATGTTAAGCAAATTTTACATTTTAAATTTTATAGTTATTTCGATAAATATTTTGTATGTACATGTAGAAATGAATATAACTCAAATAAACGGAATTTACATCAAGTAACAGGTAGATGTGAATTAAAATTTAACCACAAATATGAATAGCCAGCAGATACCAAGGGACTGGTGTAGTCACAACACACGTATGTCTGGTCCTGGTCAGACATGTAGTATAGACATAACTCGGTTACTCTGACATGACATGACATCGTTTATTCATCTGATCGGCATCTCCCTTGGATGCGCAGTACTTTGTAGTACATATTTCAATTTGTTTTGATCATTTAAACAACGATCATAGATAGGATATTTTATTTTTATTTTGTGGGTGTATATTTTGATTTCTAGCAAATAGAACCTTTTAGCGAATTTCGCTATAGGGAAGTAGCTATTACCGTAGGTCTCATGGTAAGACCTAAGCCCAGGACCGATTTACTTTTTAATTTTGATGTCCAAAGAGGCCAAAAACACCATTCGTTCAAATTTTTATATATCTATATATAGATATATATATATATATATATATATGTGTGTGTGTGTGTGTGTGTGTGTGTGTCCATCCGCACGATAACTTGAGTAATTTTTATCCGATTTTGATAAAATTTGGTTTGAAGGTGTAAGGCAGGATAAACTTGAATGAGTTCGCGAACCAGCATGATCGGACTATGGGAACGGGGGTTTATGGGGGGTTTTATGGGGTAAAAATAGGTTTTTCCCATTTTTTACCCTAAAAACACAAAATTTCACAATTTCTTTTTAAACCATTTTGTAGAACTTAAAAAAACAAATAATTTAGTATATTGAAGCGTTATTATGCGCCTAATTGTTACGGAGAAAATTCAAAAAAATTGTAATTTTAAAATTCCTATGTTATTCTTATGGAGAATAAGTCAACTGTTGTAGTTTGCTTGTTTATGAACATATTTTGATCAAATTGGGAAAATTCATTAATTTCTTACTAAACCACAGTACCTTTAAACATTTTACATAAAAAAAACGTTTTTACCCTCCCTGTTGCAGCAAACCTAAGTACTCATTAAACTAATTCTGTTTAAATAGGGAATAAATGTGATATTTTTAAGGAGACATTTTAGTTTAAATCCAATCAGGCAAATGGAAATTCGCTAAGTCTGCAGGTTTGCTGCGGCGGGAGTATTTTGTATTTGGAACAAAAAGGATTTTTATCTTTTCACGTCCTTGGGTGGTTTTTCGAAAGCACGAATTTTTAACTTGCAATAAACAAGGAAGTGACCTCATAAGGTTCCATAAAGTTGGATTTTATATTGTTGACAAATTATGGTAGTAGCGAACACTGTTTGGGTTTCATTTTTTAAGTTTTTGTCAAAGGAGTCTCAACGTGGAAGCATCGTCCCACTTTAAGTTGAAAGAAACATTATTTTTGTAAAATATTGTTATTTGGCATGGATTGATATTTTTATGTCAAAAAAGGGTGTGTTTCATTGTGTTATTGTGAAACATAAATAATATGTTTACCCTCTATTCCCCGCTATCAATTTTAAAAACTAAACAGTCGAACAAAGAAAAATGTGCCGATACTCCTTAACACTTTGCCCGTCAGTATCAATTCCCACGTAGCCGATAGTTCACGTCAGGCACGTTTAGGGTCCATGAGCGTTAACAGGCGCCCAAAGAGCAGTTACATGTTTGTTTCCCTCAAATTGGCAGTTAATCGAGCCATCAAGTCGACCCACCTCTGGCACACCGGAGAGGTTTAGGAAGGCTGTTAATGGCCAGTTAAAAGTCCTCTTAGAGGGTACAATCAAAATGCTAATGAACAACAATTATTTACTTTCTCCGTAAATAAACTTCAAACACATAGTAAGTCCAATTATACATCGAAATTGGTTTTAAATTGTTTTGTGAGGGGTCCATTTGCATTTTTTTTTTTTATTTAAGTGCTTTACTTTATTTCTTTCTTACACGGTATTAGTAAACCTTCATTTTTTACCGATTGAAATGTAAAATATATCAACACATTCACTTACAACCAACTGCTGTATCAACAAACATATTCACAGACAATGATAGTGGATTGTAACGTGTTAACACATATGTAACGCTCACCACGTATGAGAAAGCACAAATAAATTATGAGATACTATTTAGGAATAAAAAAGTAAATGAATTTATGAAATGCTAATTAATGCTTTGTGTAACGTATCAAAAGTTCTCTGTATAAACAAACGTACAACTGTTTCCTCCTAATAAGTTTCACTCATATATTAGAGATGGTTGCATATACTGATATAGGTAATTCGATCATACAACGGTACCATAACAAGTCCCTAGGTAGGTAACGGAACTACCAACTGGGTTTAACGTAATAATATTAGATTGACATGTGTCCCATGACGGGCTTAGTTTGTACTTCTGAACTGTATGTTCAAAATATACACGTTTATCATCTAGCTTTCACTATACACAGGCAAGGGCGTGACGTATGCATTCCATTTCCATGTTAAATTTGTAGCCGGTTTATAAATAATTAAGAAATTAGTTAGATTGAGCACTTAATAACGTGCGACTGGTAAAACCCAAGATTTATATTCCAATTTTTTTTATCGTAAAGTGATAACTTATTTTTGACTTTTAAAAGCCCTTTTAAGCTAGCAAGGTGTGAAAAACTAGGTTAACCGATTCAATAGTAGCCCCATTCCATTATGGAATTCGTTTCTTATTCTTTTTAGTGAAAAACAGCTAGCTGGACATTATAGATTCGATTTATATTTCAGTATCCAATGTCTATCATGTAATAGTATATGTAATGTATTAAAACATAAATCATACAGCATGTTATGTTTACCGTCTACCGTTGATTCATGACATAATTCGGTACATATATTAGTTTACATACATAACAGCTTTACTTTTGGTTACATGATTTGCTCGTATTTAGGTCACTAGCAAATAATAGGATATCCAGTTCTGGCCTGGTTTAGTTTTCAACTTTGAGCTGGGTGCAGCTTCTATATGACTGACTGAGTGTAGAACACACAAGCCGGCTCAATATCCAGGAGGGTGTGGTGCTTACTTTTTTACAACTGTGTAAAAACGCTCAAACAGGCCACATGCTTCATCGTCGTTGATAAAAAAACTCTGACGTTTTAAATGTAACATCGAAGACTTTGTTTGTTTGTTTTCAGACAAAACTTTAATTTAAATAAACATATAACGTACATATTTAATTTCCTCTTGTGACAATGAAATTCGTATACCCGAGTGGATATAGAGCGCACCTTCATATCTAAGGGTTTTAGGTTTGATCCCAAGAGGAATCGCCTTTTGATGAAAATTTTTTTATTGAGCAATAAATTAATTAATTATGATGTATCACAAAAAGCTAACGTGGCATGGTTTGAACTATCCTCTTAAACAAAGAGTTAAATGGCGAGTTAAAGTTAAATGCTAATGGCGTATCCACATAAAAAAATTATATTTAACTAGGTGAGTACCCGTTCTTCGTACGGGGTTGGTATACGTACAATGCTTATTCTAGTTAAATACTCGTGCTTTGCATTTGCAACGAGAGAGGACACGTTTTGAGAAAAATTGGTTTACTATAATCTACGGTATACTATAGTATAGGTATAGAATATCTACCATAGCCACAATGTTCTACCACTTCACCTTAACAATAGAAAGAAGTAAAGTTCTCACACTCAGGTTTTTGTTGCTGCTTGGTTCAAAATGTTGTCATAAATTGTATAAAGACCTAATGGTGCTGCACCCTGTTGGTAAACCGTATAACCTTTTAATGCTATTGAATATCATAGAAACAAATTGTGTAGTTGAAACAGCTGGCAAAATTATTTATTTCTTTTTAAATATGAATACTCATAAGGTTAACATGGGAAACTCTAGAGCCACTGGGGCGGAGCCCGAAAGGATTTTTGAGGTAAGAATATGTTGAATTATGAGGTATGAATTATGTTAA